CTTTGTGGAAAGGTCAGAAAACTTCTGTTTGTCCAACCACTGTATTGGGAACCATGGAATGGGGATCATTCATACCCCTGTGACAATGATGTTCATACGAGCTGAACCTACTGATGACAGAAGACCGGTCTGTCGGTACAACAGATGGGGTTGCTGTGGGGTAAATTGTAATTCAAAGTCCTGCTCTGATCTGGCAACAGCCTGTAATCGTCTATCCCCCACTGCTGCCTTCGCACTAGCGTGTAGAGCTGAATGAATATCATGTCCAGATGTATTCCACTGCTTTGCCCTTTCCAGATGCTTCAACACGCTTCCAAATACATGTGCACCCAGTGCACCCACTGAAAACTGAGTCTTTAACCAACGCCAAACTCACGTGGAGCCAGGTAATTCTTGTAGTACTTTCACTCAAAACCAGTGAGACCCTGGGGTAAGTGTGAGCTACTCAAGTCTTGGTTACCGAGTTCTTGATTTCCAATTTCACATGATCCAGGTTTGGCAAAAGAACTGGTTTCTGCAGCTGTTTTCCCATCAGTATTTTATAAATGCAAACGGTGCTTATTGTGTAACGGGAAAGGAAGTTAAAATGAGACATGGAGCTCAACTACCCACTACAACTTAAAGCACCCACTACCACTTATTTTTCATTATTCCTCCCTCTGAAAGTCCCAGCAGTCTCCCCCCACAGCATCTTGAGTGACACGTACCCTGGATGAGCCTCTGACAACCTCAGACAGCTGCTTGATGGCTTTGGTGCTAGTCGTGATAGTTTTATTAGTCTCCTGCTGGGTTGCATGCCTGCAGAAGAGAAGAGATTATGAGAATTTCAATTGAAATTAATTGCATAATGAGACACTTACTTACAGAACCTTTTCAAGCTGCAGAGCAATTCAGACAACACAACACAAAGCACATGGAGCCACAGTAGGACTACACAAGTCCACGGCCTTGACCAGAAATGGCAGCTAGAAAGCTGTAGGAAATACTCGCAAGGAGCTGCCCAAATTGTCCCTCCTGTCATCAGAACAAAGAAAACAGCTGTGGACCTGCAAAGTCAATGGGGGAAGATGAGGTGAAAACGGGGTGGGCAGTTCATCACAGGTGTTGGTATTGTGACTAGAATTGCTGAAAGCAGCATTGTATAGTGAAAAGAGATGGGACTGGGGAGTTACCTGATGGTTTTCCCATGAAAACTTTGTACTCAAAGAGAGACTTGAAGAAACAGAAATTGAGCAGGACAAATATACTTACCGTGATCATCTATCTACTTGCTAATGACATCGTATCTCCAAGAAAGCACTGTGAACGTGAAGGTGCAGTGCTGCTCTACGAGCACTGGGACGGGCAAGCAGGGAGCAAACCTATGCCCTCTGCAGTCGTGGCTGTCCCTCTCCTTTACGCCACAAATTCCAGAACCATTATTCCTTGTAAGCACTAGATTTCTGGCTTCACTTGAAAGTAGGGGGAAGAGACATAAATGCTGCCCAAAGGTATTTATTAGCTCAATCCAGTAGTTCTCCAGCTTTATAAGGCCAACAGGGCATTTTCAGTCTCTAAGCTTCCCCAGGGAGCACGTCATATCCTTTTAGTCAGAAAAGGGTGGTTTTCCATAATACGTCAGTCAAAAGCTCTAAAAAGATGCAAGAAAGGCCTGGAGAAAATGATCTTTTTTCTCTCTTAGAGGATGCATTTGAGTCATAGTTGTATTGAAAACTCTCATCTGTCTGTGCTCGTTTTTCAGGGTGGGTGGGATATGGAAGTCCTTTGATTAAAAAAATGTTAAAATGACTCTTTATGTTCCCTCTGTCCTGAAGATCCATGGCCAATCCTGGTGCTTCAGCTCCTTCCTGAACTGTCAGCACGGATGGCGACCAACTCTTTCAAGACATATCAACTCTTTCAGCCTCTCCTTTGAGGAACGAGACCAGCCCACAAACAGTCTTTACCAAATGCAGCCTTAGCTACACACGAATTGAGACTTCTCAACACGCATTCCACTGACTGTCATTTCCATCTGGTCAGGGTAGATGGACACAGGCACCATGAACTGCGATATTCACCCCCACAGCAAAATTTGGAGACATCTCTGTGCAGACAACTCAGGTGGCAAAGCTGTCTAGGATAAAAGTACACTTAATTTTATGCATTGTACCTACCAGGAATACAAGTGAAAACTTAGCGTACCATGAAGATAATACCTCTTAGCTGCAGAACAGCAATTCAGAGCTACATTAAGAGTTGAAAAAGCACAAAGAAGGCTTGGACTCCTTTGGCACCATACAGAAAAGAGAAATAATCTCACATGAAGACAATAGTGTATCTGATAAACAGTTGTTCTGAGTTAAATTAAGATTCCATTTCTATATCCATTCATCAAAAGGCACTTCATTTATTTAGGTTCCCAGGACCCACTGCACGAGCTGACTAATTACATCACTTGTAATTGGAGATGGAAGAGGTCATCTATACCACAGACAGGTATTTCATGCTGTCATTGCAAGAGAGGGATCTGGGAATTGCTTTCTTTCACATCGCCTACCTTGAGGAGTACACAGCCTGATCCCCAATCTTTTAAGCAAGTAAATCTTGCCACCAAGTGCATGAATTTCATAAGCAGCAGTTTCAAGACGGAGACTTCCACAGCTAATTCCTCTTAATGCAATGCAAGGCACTGGAGTTGACATCCAGTCATTTTGCAGACCTCATTAAATTATCTGCCCATGGAATAAGTCAGGGATTTACATACCAGCAATTCCCATCCCCAAAGTAAAATGGCTTGTTAGGCTCATGCATTTGATCCTTTCCAATCTCTAAAGTTAAATAAAGCCTCCTTCATTTGCATTCTAATGTCAATTTTATGTTAGAACCCTAATGTAATAAATCCACACCACACACAAACTTTGCACTGAACTGCTGCAAAATAACTGAGAATGGGAGTACAAAAAAAAAAAAAAGTTTTGCCTTCTACCTCTTTATTCAAAATGCACTTTAACCAACACGCTGGTGCTCGATTTTGGCACTTCCCACTATGTTGTCAGCACAATTAACTTCTTATTCTTCAGCCTTGGAGATATGCTTGGGAATCAGACAGTGATTATATTTAATTTACATTAAATGCTATTAAGATCTTCATTAAAAAAGAAGTCTTGAAACTCCACTCCCCAAAGCATTTCATTTTAATATGTAATGGTAACAAGATATGTCACTATTATTATTATTATTATTATTAGCTTTCTTTATATTCCTCTGCCCATGGAAGGGTGGAAGTTAATTAAAGGGGTGTCTCTGATGAATAAAATTTGCTTCTGAAAAAGTCCTCCACACAATAGTAAGTCAAATACTCAGTCTGTGGAGATACCAAGTACCTAAAATATAAACGTTGTAAAAGACTTATCTGTCTACAGTACTACTCTGAAAATAAGCCCCCTCAGAGTGAAAAAAAAAAAAAAAAAAGAAAGGGGCATCTCTTAGGGAGAATAACATTTCCTGCTGTGCATTTCTGTATGCAGAAAGATTGCAAAGACAATGCACTAAATAATACAGGAGATGCCACACTCTGCCGCAGACTTTCCTACGGCTGCTGTTTTTTTACTAGAGTACGGTCCACCGAATCCTAATCCCCAGCCCACAGCTGCTTACAGTTTGTTCTTTGAATAATCATATCCCTAATTTATTTATCCAATTTTAAAATGAGCATAGCAGAGAGGCAGATGCAATGATGGCTACTTCTCTTCTCCACAGGGACAGAATGAAGGATTTCTAACTACCGTTTGCACCATTTCTTTGACACACTTGATGAATGACCAAGTCAACAAAAAGCAGTCAGATCCCAGATGCAACAGCAAAGGCCAGCAAGGGAAAGACAACTCTCTGCCTCACCGTGCCTGCTGCCACTCAATAATCCCAGAGAGCTTTGTTTTCTATTTACAGCTGGAGAAAGGCATTTCCATTAATAATAGAGGATATGTCTTATTTTATTTTCATCTGATCTCTAATATAAGGGCAATAAGAAGTTTTTCAGGTACAGATCAAGGATACTTTGATCAGATTTCCTACCTCCTTTGGCACAGTGCAACTGCACAGCAATGGTGTAGCCTTATGCATTGAGGGGCTGGGTGGTCGAGTAGATTTGGCTAAAGTTAAGCCAGGTAGTGCAGCATAACTTAAACCATATACTTGTCTTTTGCACAGTAGCTGTAATTCTTACCACTCACTGCAGTTTTCTTGTACAAAAAGAGGCAAAAATTATAATACAAGGAGCAGAGCACTGAGCTGTATGATCTGTGGTTTAAGCAGAAATTGGTTGAGTATCTGCACTTATATATATTCCACTGTCATTGGAAACATCAATATGTAAGGGTGCATCAAGCATGGATAAGGATATTGTTCACTCCGTAAGACTGTAGCCAGTGTCTTCCCTGTATTACAGCTGGATTTTGTGAAGGACTGATGTCTGTAGAAGCCGACGACAGGCCTCAGCAAACTATAAATAACTGTATATAAAATTTTATGCATGGGCCATAGGCACAGACATGAAGTAGCAGTCTCTGAGGCTCCTACTCTCCTTCCTCCACCTAACCAAGGTGCTTAACTTCAGAGCAAAGCCAACAGAGATCCTTCATGGTCTGTGGAAAGAGGCACCTCCAAAGGCACTGCAGAGACAACCGCCTCATCTGGGTGTCTCCTACGCAGCCCGAATGTTCCTACAGCAGAGCTAGGGATCTAGCTTCAGTTCAGAAACGGGTGATCCAAGCTGACGTGTTCAACAGTTGTGTTGGCAAACACTTATCGATAGGATGGAAACTTGTGCTGCATTAGAGCTCTATAACTTCCTGCCCATAGACAGCCCTGCGCCTTGTCCTCAAGGGCTGCTGGCTCTGCACGGGATGAACGCAGTGGGAATCTCTCATTTCCGAGTCCTGCTTGCAGATGTAAACAAAGCAGCAAGACAGGCTGGGAGGAAAGGTTGTTTTGCCAAGCCCTAAAGTATCTTTACAGTACTGTTACAGTCTCCAAAGGAAGAAAGGCTAAATCTACTTGTCCTGGCTCCAAACTAAAACTCACAACTCATTTTTTCCTCCCCCCCCTTTCTCTTTTAGGACCTGATTGTGCATGTTGAGGCATCATTTACAACAGAGCAAAGTAAGAGCTCTAATTCTGGTCTGTCAGCAAACCCCTTTGCATAGGTGTAAATCATCCAGCAGAGTAAAAGTCAGGAGAAAAATGGACCATTACTTCCAAGTTTCAAGCCAAGTTTCAAGCCCCACAATATTCTATAATAAAAGCATCATAGATTTCCAATTTGCCTGTCACCTGAAAGTATTAGGAGATGTGGCACTATTTTTCTTTAGGGAGCTTAGGGGATGGTCTGTGGCTGCGTGGGAAGAGAAGGGGAGGTATTTCAAATCCACCTGGCACTGGTGCTGTGTCTTCTCTGGAGATGAACACGGCTATAGGCCAGCAGCTACGTTGTTCAGCAGTTCTGGATTAAAACATATGAATTGTAGTCATAGACAGCAGACCTCACAAATTTCACCACAGAAATGCAACCAGGGCAATATACAACAATGCAAACCCTAGCAAAATTTTCAATGGTATTTTTAATACCTATCAAGCACTTTTTTTTTCTTGCATTGCTTCTTCACAGTAAACAATAAAAAATGAAGCATTTATTACTAACATAAGTAGAACGTGTGCTTCCCTACTAGCAAGCAGCCAGTTACTCACTGACCTGCTACCAGAAATTCAGGTTTGTGTTTTTCAACTAAATTATCTCCAGGACACGAAGAACCCCTCTT